CCAGACTGGGCTGGGACGAGCCTGCGCCGATCTCAATGACTCGCCGATGGGCGGAATTTACCGCCGAGCTCCAGGCCATCTCCACCTTCACCTTACCGCGCTGGATCGGAGTTGGGCCTTCTTCCGAGCTTCACCTGCACGGCTTTTCGGACGCCAGTCGCCGCGCGATGGCAGCCGTCATCTACTCTCGCCTCGCGCCCGGGGCTGGGCCGGCGCTCTGCCACATTCTTCTGGCTCGGACGAAGCTCTCGCCGATTCGCTCGCTCAAGCCGGCGCCAGAGACATCCGCGCGCATGACGATTCCGCGCCTCGAGCTCCGCGCCGCACTGATTGCCGCCAAGCTCCTGCGGACCGCTGCCGACGAGCTACGCGTACCTGTCGACCGCTGTCACGCATGGTGCGACTCACAGATCGTTCTGCACTGGCTGCGTTCCGACAGGCCAACCAACAACGTGCTGATCGACAACTATGTCGCCCAAATCCAGGAAATGCTGCCTTCGAGTGTCTGGCGATACGTGCCGACCCAGTCAAATCCAGCCGACCTCGCGACCAGAGGTGCCGACATGACCGGCCTTCGCTCGCAGCGCACTTGGTGGGAGGGCCCCGCTTGGCTCGCCGAGGACGTCGACTCGTGGCCCCTAGACCCGCTCCCCGCACCGAACCAGCATTCATCCATCTGCTGCGTAGTGCAGCAGCTCGACGCCAGCTACCTCGAGCAATTCTCCAACTTACGCATGCTACTAAGCTTCCTCGTACGCATTCGTCGATTCGTCCGGAGCCGCTTGGGCAGGGGCCCCGTGCTTACGGTCGCTTCACCTCTTACGCCAAACGAACTCCACGACGCTTTTCTCGCATGTGTACGCCTCAGCCAGGAGAGATCATTTTCGGACGACCTCCAGTGTCTTCGACAAGGCGAACGTCTGCGGAAGACGAACCCCTTGGTACCGTTAGCAGCCTTCCTCGATGACGACGGGATTCTGCGCGTCGGCGGGCGGCTAGAGCATTCACCGCTGACCTACGAGGAGCGGCACCCGCCAATTCTCAGCGGCGCCTCTTCCCTCGCTTCCATGGTCATCGTCTGGGCGTACTCTCGGGCGTTGCATGGTGGATACCGTGTCACCAGTGCCTACGTCTGTAAGCGCGCTTGGCTCCTCGGTGGGCCCCGGCGGATCAAGGCTCACCTCCGCAGGTGCATCGTCTGCATCCGGCTGCGAGCGGGACCGGCGACACAACTCATGGCCCCACTGCCGTCGTCTCGAGTCTCCCCTTCTCGTGCCTTTGCCTGCACTGGAGTAGACTACGCCGGCCCTTTTCATGTACTCTCCGCCAGAGGACGAGGAGTCCGGACCACGAAAGGCTATATCGCCGTTTTTGTGTGCCTCGCCACCAAGGCCCTGCACCTGGAGCTGGTCGGCGATCTCTCGGCTGCGTCCTTCTTGGGCGCCCTCCACCGATTCGCTGGACGCCGCGGTCGGCCCGGTGAGATCTGGAGCGACAACGCGACTTGCTTCCGCCGCGCTGATGTTGAGCTGCGCGATGCCTTGCTGACAGCCNACCAGTAAGCGCCCTGGGTTATGTGGGGATAGGCGATTGCGTTATTATTTTATTTATAGTAAATTAAGTAAGTGACCAATAAGCACCCCAGTTGTGTGGGGATTGGCGCTTGCTTTTTGATTAACTAATTTTATTATTTATTCAAATTCATGAGGCTGCAGCTGATTGGCTCATTGGGTTATTGGGTTAAATAGCTTGGGATTAGTTTATTAAGTTATTGTGCATGAAATTGCGTCGAGTTATCTTAGGATTTGAGTCTTGCTACATGTAGCCAATTTGAATTTTCCGCAAACTCGCCAGTCACATTTTGGAAGAACCACTGGCTTTCTCCCTCCTCCTTTTAAACTTTTGTATTTTTCTCACTAGGATCTGTAGCAATATATAAGTCCTAGTGACAAAAATGCAGAATCAAATCCTCCTTACCCAACACTGGCCCTCTTAAGGAGGTTCGGTAGTGATTGTTTGGTTTCGCGCCCGAGCGCGACAGCCGAGCGAGGCGCTGCGTGCACTTCCGCCACGCTCACGGGCTTCCGCCTTGCCGGGAGCCGCCTCTGCGTTCGGGCACTTGAACACTGCTCTTCGAGACGACAAGACGCTTGTCCCGCTCACACTCACGACGCCTCTCACGCTGTAATAACCCGCTTGTACAATATCAAATAAAGTGTTTTACCAAACATTGATCCTTTGAGAGCCGCATTCCTCGGAGAAAACCAGCGACCAGCAGCCCAGAAGACAGCCGGTGGTTCCACATTATTTGAATCAATGTAAGTATAAGTGGCAAACAAAGCGCGAACATGGCCGCCGCGGTCGCCATAGTGCCCGCGGCCCGGCACCAGTCGTTCGGTCACGGCAATATTGAAGCCGTGTTGCCCTGCACGCGTGAAATGTTGTGAGGGACTGCCGCGGCTGACAGAGCTCGCGGTCCAGTCATTTGGCCCAGCCACGGCGGCAAGCAGGCTGTGTCGCTGACGGCCAAAGTTAACGAGTGGTATAGACGTGGCCCGGCTTCATCAAGCCGCCATTGTTGCAATGATCCGCCGACGGCCTCCTTGTCGGCCGTGGCGTCCATCTTGTCCGCTCAAGCGCGTTGCCTGCCGATTCGACTCGAATTGTCGACCCCCCTAACACCGCCAGCTGTGGCTCGGTGGCATATTCCGCTCAAGCGTCCAATACTAATGTTTCAGAATGGACGAAGGCTGGACCGCGCTGTTCGGTGCTCAGTCGGCTCTCGTTGAGGTTGTTGGCCGCCTGGCCCGCACCATTCATGAGATGGAGCCAGCCCGCTGGAGCTCGGGGATTGTAGAAGTGAGGTTGGAGTTGCTCGGCGGATATTGGGGCGATTTTCAAGCCAACCATCTCAAGCTCATCGAAGCTCTGCCACCGGAAAAGGCGTCTCGGGTGGTCCAGCTGTACACTGACGTGGAAGCGCACTACCTCGACGTACGGTCTTGCCTCTTCGACGCGAGAGACTCCCTGGCGCCGGCACCTGTCCCTCCCGGGCCATTCCCGGGCCCAGGGAACCCGGCTTCGGGCCGTGGGCCTCGCTTGCCGAGAATCAGCATTCCGAACTTCTCCGGGAGACGAGAAGACTGGGAAAGCTTCCGTGATCTCTTCCGAGCGCTGATCCACGAGGACTGCCAACTCACCAACGTCGAGCGCCTGTTCTATTTGAAGTTGCTCGCTCAGGGAGACGCTAAGACGGCCCTCGATACGGTCCAGGTAGCCGAGGCCAATTACTCTACGGCATGGGCTCTGCTGCTACGAGCACAGCCGCCTTCTTGTCCGCGACCATGTCACAGCCCTGCGGAACATCAAGCCACCCAGAGACGAGTCCGCCCGCGGGTTGCAGAGCCTCTTGGACACCCTGGAAAAACATCGCGACCAGCTTCGCGCCTTAGGTCGTCCCGTAGCCGGCTGGGACGATTGGTTTGTCTCGTGTGGAATGACTGGCATGGATCCAGCGACGAGGCGTGCATGGGAGGAGGAGCTCCACTGGTTGGAGAGTACCGTTTCCGGCTCCGACGTTGACGTCGCCACATTCGCCACCTTGACCGACTTTCTTCGGCGTCGTTGCTGCGCCGCCAGCTCTGTCGAAGCCTCGCAGCCTGCACGTCCCTTTAGTGGGATAGCCTCACGCTCGAACTCCTCGACATCAGGACGCAATTACCACGCCCTCGCCACGAGCAACGATACGCCGTCGTGCCCGGCGTGCCACGAGGGCCATTATCCCGGGCGTTGTGCGCAGTTCCAGGGGCTTGATGTACGCGCACGGAGGGAGCTCGTCTACCAGGCACGGCTGTGCTTCAATTGCCTCCGACCCGGGCACGCAGTGAAGTACTGCCCCTCCCGGTCGGCTTGCCAATATTGCCGAGAGCAGCATCACAGCTCACTGCACGACGGTGCCCGTCGCCGCCGCTCGGGGCAGCCCGACGGCTCTACATCATCAAAGCAGCCCCGCACGGACCCGCCCACCTCTTCATCGGGAGAGCACTCGACTGACGCGTCACCTCAAGCGTGACTAGCCGTGCTTCCGACCGCCCTCGTCCATCTGAGTGGTCCTCCTGGTCGTCGAGTTCCGGCCCGAGCGCTGATCGATGCGTGCTCCGAGGTCACCGTCATCTCTGCGACTCTCGCGCGCC